CCTGCTGGGTCCTCCCGTAAAGGTAAAATTCTCTCACAATCTCTACTCATAGTGATTACAATATGCTCTTTGATTTCCAATCTGTGCGACCGTTTAAATAACTCAATGTCAAACACATTATGTATTTGACATTGAGTCATTCAAACAAACAAATTGTGTCAATAATGAATATTTTGTTTTATATAATTTAATGTATTAGTTATACTTAATTTAAATAAAATTTAGCTTTCTGCACTCCTTCTCCACATAAACTTTAATTATACCAAATCTCACACCTCTCCGTTTGCGCAAAATGCTTAAAAATGCGTACAAAGACTTCTTGATGAGAGAAAGGCACTGGTAATACTTCTCTTCGTTAACGTCTGTAGTAATGGCTGTTCGGAAAGTAATTTCGTTTTCTTTTATGAAAATGAGAGACGATTTTCTTATAATGAATAAAATATTTAATCGAGTTATGTATTGTCCATTCTGGTCCAATACCAATACCATCCTTCTGGCAGTAAGCAAGATTTGCTCATAAAATTTTTGTTCTTTGCTGGCAAAAAACATCCAAGTGATTTTTATCCTCCTGACTTAAAGTAAAGGTTTTACCGTCTAAAACTTTTGTAGATCACTAGACCAGAAGAAATAATAATCAGAAGGTGCCAGATCTAGAGTATATGCGGCTGTGGTAGTATGTCCCTTCCAAGCTGTAGAAGCTTTTGGTGAGTTAACAAACTTGTACAAGATCTCGCATAATCTTGTTGGAACACTACACCTTTTCTGTTGATCAATTCTGGCCTTTTCTTTTTAAGTAAATCATTCAATTTGTTCAGTTGATGACAGTACACTTCAGAATGAAGCTAAAAAAAAAACGATTGTTTTGAAATGCCGCCAAACACCTTTTTTGATAAATATCGGCTTTCGAATTTCGAAAGATTTAAGCCGGTTTATTTTTTTTACTCCATGATCTCTTGCGTTTAACATTGTTGTAGACAACTTATTTCTCGTCTCGTATAATTTTTTTGACATTTGAGAAGCAAATCACAGTCGTCAAAGCGAAAGCACAAAATTTCTTTCCGTAGGAATATGAGGAACCTATCGAGCTTTAAGATTAAATCGAGGCGTTTCAAATTACCATAATTGGTCTAATTCGATAAATTTAATCTCTCAGCGATCTTAAGAGTAGTTATTCGCCAAATTATATTGTTACGTGCGGGTTGAGTAAAAATGCCGATTAGGATGAAAAATGGATGTAATTTTCCACGCACACAGCAAGTACACAATTACGTCGTCCAAAATCGTAAAGCTTCTTCGGTGAAGTCCTTAATAATCGCAGATGTTGGAAGTCGAAATCTCTTTTGCGTTCCCGAAATAATTAACTCCTGGCACACACTTTAATAGTCGATAAAAGAAATATGGAACTTTCTAGGCCAATCCGGGTCATTTCACTCTTTTAACCGGAAAGTACTAGATCACTCGAGATAACATAAAAATAACAATGTCCAAAGGAGAAAAGGCTTTAATATATCATAGACCTAAGGTTGTTTCTTCTTTGTATTAATAGTCCGAGCGTTAACTATTTCTATGCCTACACATTTATTTTCTTACTTATTTATCGTCGCTAACATTCTCGTACTATGTGACGTATAATGCAAGTGGCGGTCGTAATAATATCAATTAATGCCTTTATTGTATCTATATTGTATAGCTTCAACTGGCCTTCCAGAACGTGGTGCATCTTTAACATGAAAATTGCCGATTCGACAATTTTGCAAATAGTTTTGGTACTGGTGTTCTATCTCCAAGAAAATAAAATATAGGATAATTTTTGTCTTACTTGAACAGCATTTTTACGTATTCTGTAGTAAAGACGTAAAATGTGCCGAAAATGCTACTTTTTACTTTCCATATTTGAAACGGCACCAACCAAAAATTACTGAGTAGAATCAATCGAAATTTTTCACAAGCATGCCTTGCTATATCATCTGTCAAAATATATAATGACGAGCGATCCGCCCCGGCTTCGCACGGGTGATTTCACGATCTCGACAACAACGCCACCTACCGGATTCAATTGTGAATCTAAACCATTCTCTAATCAACTTAATCGCACACAAAATTTCATCAAAATTGGTCAAGGCGTTTAGGAGTTCAGGTCACATACACATGGATATAAGAATTATTTAAATACAGATCATGCGGCTAAGAACGAAGTAGGCTGTGAAAAAATACCATTAAGTTCTCTACTGGGAAAAAACGAAATTACTTTCCGAATAACGTAAAAAGTTTAGGTTCGGATTTTCGATGTATATAATATTATTTTATTGAATGCTAGAGCAGTGTTTGTTACTTAGCTTGGTGCTTTTCAGTGCACCAGTGAGTAGACATTAGCCAATTGTATTACTTCACAGATGATGTGCAAGAGGCATCGACTACAGTTGAATCCATGTCGCCCCAACCCAAAATTTCTGCGACGAACCAATTCGTTAATTCGCAAAAAAATGACAATAACAGGTAGGTGCTTTATTTTAAAACGATAAATAAACTGTGACCTGAAGGCAATTCAGGTCAAAATACGTAACTACGTCGCGTTTTTGAGTTTGAACACAAATCGGAGCCGACTTTTGTGAAGAAACGTGGTAAAGCCACGCTGCAGCTATATTAGCACAAATGGGTCTGTTCGACCGTGGAAAAACTACACTCAGTGTTTCGTATATTGAGTGTAGAGAACTGGAGAACCTTTTTACTGGAAACGAAGCATTCCATCTTAGTTCACACTGGTGACTCATATCTATGGGCCACATCATTCACTTACCAACAGATGGCGCTGTGTGCTCGTTTGTCACACTTAATTGAAAATATAAACACAATTAAATTAAACTATTTATGAAGAGTAAAAACCAACTTGGGAGAATTAAAAATAATTAATTTCTATTTAATAAAACATACAAAAAGCTTCTGATATTGCACTAAAACAAAGTATATCAAAGAATTCAAGCCATGGAAATCATTTTCATTCCTTGAAGTCGGTTTTTACTTTTTACCATTTATATTATTATTTTATTTACTTTTTTTTTATATAGAATAAGGGTGACAAACGAGCACACAACCCACCTGATGGTAAGTGGTTGCTGTGGCCCATAGACATCTACATCTATCTTCGTTTGCGAATTAAAATGCAGATGCGTTATCACCCGTGAGGACTAAGATAGAATGCCTCTTTTCCAGTAAAATGGGTCTCCGGTTCTCTACACTCACCATGCGAAACACAGCAGAATCGAGCTGCTATTTTACGCAGGTATTCTGTGAGAGCGTGGTCCTACCCCGGTCGATCCAACCCATTCGTGCTACAACTATACTACTAATATAGCTGCAGCATGGCTCTACCACGTCTTTTTATTATTACATCCCAACAATATAAATTTAAAAAACTCAATGGATTTTTTTTTAATTTATATGGTACAATCCCTAAAATGTATTCCATTTATTTAAAGAAAAAAAAATCATTAAAGTCCAAAATGTTAAAATTAGATTTCTTCAGTCACTAACATTTGCCCTTATATATTCAATCGTAAAGTTAGGGACACCACAAACACTTTTTTGTTTCTGCTACTTGGATTCAGTGTAATAAAGACACATTATCCAAAACATTTACAGAGAAAACTTTACAGGGGAAATAATTAAAACCTATTCCTTCATCATCATCATCATCATCATTACAGCTTTTCACAAGTCCACTGCTGAACATAGGCCTCGCCCAAGGAATGCCACAAAGCACGGTCCTGAGCCACCTGCATCCATCGACTTCCTGCATTTCTTACCAGATTAGCTCATGAGCCCAACGCTCTACGTTGCTCAAGTTGGACTAACTTAATTCCTACGCTAACTTGTGAGGTGATGTTTTCAGTTTTTATTTTATTATATTTGAGTAACAAACTTGGCAATTCGTTGGGCTATGTCGGTTGCATTATTAACATTTTAAATTGAATATCATTTTGCGAGGATGCTCATGAGTTTAGAGGAAGTTTATTTTATACATGGTATAGCCATGCTGCAACTATATTATATTGGTTTAATAATATTACGTTTGTAGCACGAATGTGTCATCTGGACCGGAGTGGGACCACGTTCTCACAGTATAGCAGCTTAATGCTGCTGTGTGTCATCTGGTGAGTGCAGTAGAGGACCGGAGATTTTATTTACTAGACACGAAGCATTCTATCTTAGTCTTCTTTTCATTCTAAATCGAACTATAGCGACGAACGATGCTGGAAAATCATGTTATGTTGATCATAACCCACAGACACCCACCTCACACACTGGTGATAGGAAGCGACTTTGGGCTTAAAAATATGAATGGTCCATCAGCATAGTGTAACAAACTTACGCTGAATTCATCAACCTTTATATTTAGCGTGAGCATTGGCATAGGCATAGGAAATTATTAAATCTTTGAAGAAGCGACGTCATTCAGGCTTCGTTCGGTAGTGGAAACTAAAATAACATTGCGTTTTTTAGTAAAGATAGCGTCAGACATCAGACGAGCGTCACATTGCGCGAGAAGAGTCCGAATTCGACGCTTCGCGAAGCTAAACTTCGGCTTCGAAAGTTGGAGATAGAAGCAGAGGCAGTGGAGAAGTCATACATGGATTTTCGTAAGCGCAGATCCGAGGTGAACAATGAAAACCTCCGACTGACTAAAGATAAAGCTTTGGACGAAATTGACCAGAATTTATGTGAGAACATTTTATTTATATGTATGGAATAATTTTTCTTGTCTTGCCTTTAGATATTCTTTCTCAAAAAAGAAAATAACTATAAAGAATATATTAGTGTGGTAAACTGGTTTACATTACACCTGCGATTTATAACTTAAATTGCATAGGTACACCGATTTCGGCGTAGTATTTGTTGCCGCATTTTACATGAGCGCCGGCGGTATCTAGTCAGAGCGCGATGACTTATCATTAATCTATGTTAAATTGTAAAGAGTCCCTCAGAGAAAAATAAACATATTCACTTTGGCACCGCAATATATTTATGAAAATGTAATGTATGTGCATAAAAACATAAATAGCTGTGATAAGAATAAGGATGTTCATACTTTAAACACTAGCAACAAACATAAGCTTGTAATGGCAGTTACTAGACTTCACAGAATCAGTAATTAATGTATGGGGCAATGTATACAACAAAACGCTTTTACAATAAAATTCCAGAACATGTTCAAAGTTTGTCAATAAACAAGTTAATTTTATTAAAGAAAATATAATATCAAGGAATATTAGAATGAAAATACCCCCGGGAAATGACGTGATCGCCAACATGCTGATTCTATGAAAATTCATTTAAAAATTGTACAAACAAAATTATTGTAAAGTGAAATATGAATTAAAAAAGAGTCCCGGTCGGTTTCTTGTTGGTTCTTCTCAGGACAGAAGTATTTTTCGAGCCAGTAGTAAATAAAAAATGACTTTCATTAAGTATTGTGAAATAATCAATATTGAAAAAAAAATTATATTCTGTTCCATTCCTGATGGTTTGAATATTGTAGCATCTAGGCGCTTTCCATTAACTTCAAACCAGGCTGCAGATGAGATGTCACATCTGATAAACTGACTCCCTTACCCTTCAGTCCGGGACCAGTATGTGCACTGCCCTTTTCGGCAGCCCTACCACTAAACTAAAAAGCTTTGTTGCTTCATACAGTAGTTATAAAATATTTTCGCAACCCGTTTTAATAAGTTTTGTCTTTTAATATTTGTCGTAACCTAAATTTTATGTTAAAACATATAATTGGTTTTCGGATCTAAGTGCCTTGTTCCGTGATCCTTGCACAGCATTAAAATATACCTCTAATGTTGTGGAAGTCAAAAATGTAATGATAAAATTACCTTGCGTCGGGGTTTACACACACAATATATATGAGTATGAAAAAAAGGAATTGTTTTTTTCCTGCATGTAAGACTCTTTTCGAAATAATAGAGGTCGTGCATAGCTTCTTCAACTCACTGTTATTACTCGCTCCTTAGCAATTTATAATCTACTACTTTTTGTTTCAGACATCCTGTACAGCAGTTCCTTTCACAAACAACATAAAAATGTCAATACCAAAGATGAAAATAAGTATATAGAGGTAACAAAGGAGGCTTTAAAAAAAGATTTCGATAAATATCTCAGGGAATATCAAACTAAATATAATTTTATGGAGCCGCATTTTGCCAATAAAAATACTACGGCTGTTAAGGTTAAGCCGATACCAGATGCATATATCAACTTGGATAAAGAGTTGGATGACGCAAACAGAATTCAAAATAATTTACAAAATGTGAATTATTTAGAGGCACCATTAACGGAATTCAGAAAATTGTACCATAATCCAAAACCTCATAAAAAAGCTAGAACAGATATTTCAAAACCAAGGTCCCCCCCTGTTTCAGATAGCTATGAAACTAAGCAGGATAAAATGGAAAATGCCCAGTTCAAACCCCCCTCCGATATTTGTATTGATAAGAATGCTGAAATTACCGATCATCCCAAAATGAAGGCAACCGAAGAATTAAAAGAATGTACGGAAAACAAAATGGTTGAATCAAAAACGTTAAAAGAACATAATATAAGTGAAACATCTGCTAAACAAATTCATGACGAATTGCACTTGGATACTAACAAAAATATACTCAAGGTTGAAGTAGAAAGTGTAACACAAACAAGAAATATTAAAACACCAGATTCACAAGATGATTTAATGATTGTTGTACAAAGTTCAATAGATACCCAGGAGTTAATATCACAAGATAATATGGAAAAGCATGTGCCAATGACAATAGTATTAAGTCCCAAAATAAATAGTCCTAGGAAACCAGTAGACACTGAACCAGATAGAAGTATAATCATTAATGAAATTAAAGATTTGTTGTTAGAAGAGCAGTCTGGTAGAAAGTCTAGTATACCAAATTCACCGGATGATTCAATAAAAATTGCACCCACGAAAGAGTTCCTTACGAGCCTAAAAGAAAATAATGAAGAAAAATCTCCCAACAAGTCTATTAGCAGTCCTTCCCCAAAGCTAGTCGCCCATCACTCTAAAAATGACACTTTAAATGCTATTTTTCAAACAGAATCCGCTAAAGGTGCATCCAGTGTTAATGTAGATTTAGTCAACTCTCAAGATGGACTTGAATCCTTAAATGAGACTGATGAAGATCAGAAAGATTACCCTGACGATTTTTCCGCTGACGTTGACAACTACAATAGTCATTCAATGTTAGAAAATTCCCCCATCTCCCTCCCCAAGACCTCCGAAGACGATAACTTTTGGGATTAAATTACAGTTACCAAAAAAACCAAAGAATATGCCAGTCATAATTTATTTTTCTAATATTTATGTGAATTAAAACGTATATAAAACATACTTTTTTTACATATTTCTTTTATTTTCTCATTTAGATATAAAAGTACAAACATTCGTAAATGTATATCTCTGTGCAACGTTCGATTATTAACTTTTGGCAAATATCACAATAATATATGACATACAATATTGTTAAACTATAAATGCAAATCAACGCAGTGAACGGTGTTTATTGTCAAATACTTGCAAAATAAAACAATGTGGAATCATTTACAAATGCAAAAACGAAATATAACTAACAATTAATTACATTGAACAATGTCTTAATGTTTATGTTAGATACCTAACATATAAAATATAAAAATGAGATTATTACATGAACACAACATACATATAATACATTGAGAGCTAACAAACTATGATAACCATATGATTTCAGCAAAGTGGTTTAAAATGTAATAGTTTTAAAATGGATAATATCAAAGCAAACCAAATTCACAATATTTCTCACTCCCACTAATTGCTGTATGTCATAGAAACAACCTTTGTTTATTTCACAACGAATTTAAATGGAAGATTAGGTGATATATTCAAACAGATTCTATAAAGACATTATAGCAACAAAAATCTGCTGTTGTTTTAAAATTATTTCTATTCCATGGTTACAGTTAGTAGAAACATACTTTAAGCACTTAGATTCCAGAAAATGTGAGAATATTCGCCAACATAAATGCATATATTTTGGTCGATATAAGAGAGTACACAAAATATTCGCATATTGTGGAAACTTGTATCTATTATACATAGGCACCATAATCGCATTCAACTCTACAATTGTTTTTGATGTTATCTGAAATATTATCAATCAATCAAATCCTATCAATATTAATATAGTACAAGTTGCAATAAAAAATCCGTTAAACTAATATAGGTACAATTAATTATTCATCGATATAATTCACAATAATTTTAACTACAATTCAAATGAAATATATTTGTTAATGTTATGAACTTTAAGGCGACCACGACTTTATTATGTAAATAACAATGTCAATTTCGCGTTTCTGTTATTTCTTGGAGCAGTGTACTGTGAGAAATACATATCTCAGAAACCAAAGCTAACATTATGGCCCATGTTTTTGGTTGCCGTAGCCGAGCGAGGTGAATTTGGCCCAGTGACGCGAAGCCAGTTCGAAACCTGAAAATTATACTATGATATTTTATTTTTATTTATTTTAACAATGCTATTAAATTTACTAATATCGGGAATATTTTGTGTTAAATGTAAACTGGTATTATAATAAGAGTGGTTCACAACAGTAGTCGAGTGGAGGATTGGAACCTACGACCTTAGTTTTCCGACGGCTCCTTGGCGCAGTGGCTTAGCAGCTTGCAGCGTTGAGGGCCGTGAGGGCATATAAGTCGTTAGGGAAGACAAAGCGTCTGCATTTTGTTTCCTAATCGAGGATCGATGTAGGTATCTATGGGATAGCACCCACTCATAATTAGGTGGGCTGTGTTCTCGTTTGTCACCAGTGCGTGGGTAACGGCTCCGCTATTACCTCAAGTTAGATATTTGGGTATATTATTGAAAAGATCTGCAGCCAGAAATTTAATAAAACCTGATAAAGATGAAGAAATTTGACTAGATTGTAAAAAAAGTGTTGTCACCTGTAGAGGCAGTGACCTGCCAGAGTCGTCATCTTGTTCCTTGTTTGGCGTACTGCAACGACCAGACAACCGCGACCTCGCACGTCCCACTCGCGAACAAGGACTGACTACAAAAGGACTGCTCGCAAAAGGACTGCTCACAAAAGGACTGCTCGCACAAGGACTACTCGCCAGCGATAGTGAGGCATGCGTTGTACTCTCATTCAGCCCTGGCCCTGGCTGCCACCTGGACATAAGAAACACCACGTATAACATCGCACAATAGGTCAGTTCGACCAGAAAACGACCATAATGCTGCTGTGTTTCATCCGAGACCTCATAGGTGACAACGCATCCGAATTTTGATTCTTAACCGATGATAGATGCAGGTGCATATAGGCTACAGCATCTACTTACAGGAGAACTATGTGTTTATATGTCACCCTTGTATATCAAAGAATATATCCACTTGAGAACATCCGTAACCCAGTATCAATTGTACTCAAAACATTGAAACAACTTAAGAAAGTAAAATTTAAAAGTGCAACATGTTAAGAACCAATATGTGTATTTTAGAATAAATCTTTTTTAATATTCGCATTCGCATTTGATTATGCAAATTTTTTGCGAATGTATTTGGCAATGAAAAGTGACAATAGTTAACTAGGTAATAGATAACTTCTAAAAATAAACTACGAACTTTTTAACACACACTTGAGCGAAGTAAATTAACACATTTCAATACACTAAACTACTTTAAATAGTATCTTTACTGAGAACACAATGTAATAAGATTTATACTATTTATACGAGATTTATCGGTATCTAATAATTATCTTGCACAAAAAATTGAGTACTTCACTTATACATGAAATTTACAATATCTTGAGAAAGTAAACGAAAACGTTAACTTTTCTTATAAAAAAACTAGCTGTTCCCCGCGACTTCGCCCGCGTGTAATTTAGGGTTTTATTTGTTGCGCGGAACCCTAATTCTTTTTGTAAAATATAAGTAACCTACGTTACTCTTTATAACATCAGCTATCTGCCAGTGAATCCCGTCGAAATCGATCCAGCCGTTTCTTAACTTAAAGCGAATCAAAGATTATTCTTTTTTATAAAATTATAAATCGAATAAAAAATCGCTATCAATTTATCGATTTTATGACTGTTAATTGGCAACATCGAATCTGACAGCTAGGCCCATGTCATAATTACCAAAACTAAATACATAGTCATAAGTCGAATTCATTTGCATTTATGTTATTTTGTTTGTTTTCTCGCGGATTTGTTATCTAAGCAACGGATAAGCTTTCTAAATGGACTCCGATAATTCTTCTCACCCTGTTGACCACGTTCTGAAATTGGATCCCGCTCCCACTTCTTACGATAACCTCTGCACGAACTTGGACTCGATATCCACTGTTAACGATGACCCCAGCTTTCACACCGGCCAGAGTTCTTCCTAGTTCTCAGTAACTCATCCAAGAGAACATTTACGCTGTGTCAATTGTTGTTTAAATGTCACGAAAATATGAAGTCATTTGTTGTTAAAAACTGTTCTTGTGAAAATAAAAAAATCTTTATATCTTAAAAATTCGGACTTTTTTTAAACCAGTTCTTTAACCATTTCATTCTTTTAATTGCATATTATCATTTCCATATGCTTTTATATGTGGGCACCCATAGCCGAAGTGTCTATGAACGGTGGGCATTCCCCTCAAATAATCAATAAACCAAGTGTTGTTTTAAAGCAGATAAAGTTGAAAAATAAATAAATCAATCTTACTTCTCTCTCTCTTTAGGTGAGTACAGTGAGATGGTGTGCCGCCACCTGTACACGTTGGGAAATTGCTCCAGCGGAACATCACTTTGCAATATCGCTTCATACACCAATCGGTCCATTTTTGTCGGTTCCTCACTGCGAGAAATTACATTTTTAATATTATTTTTCGTATAACTTTTTTTCTTTATTATATACTATATTATTACGAAATAACCAATAATTAAAATTACGATTGCCTAACAATTGTAATTTTTACACGTCGACGTCAAACAGGTTAAATATCAGCTCTTAGACCACTTTATATTCGACGATTTCCTTTCAATATTTACCACAAAATTAATATTATAATATATTATATTACCCATTTACGAAAAATGCTACAGGTTTTTCACCCCTGAGAGCTAAGATGTAATGCCTTGCAATTATACTGGCTCGTTAAACTAATTAAATAAATAAATTCATTAAAACTGAAACACAACGGTGGTACAATACTGCCTGGGGACAGAAATATATATGAGGATTGTACCAACTCAAGAGGATATTGACTGCTAGGCTTACCCTAGACTTTAAGATTATAGGTTCTATCACAAGTGCATCTGAAAGGAGCTTACCCATATATAAAAGGTTCCACCAATGCCCGATCACTGGCATCCTCTAGTTTGTCCTCATCTTCTTTACCGGCGTCAGAGTGATCGGAGAGCTCCGAGGCAGTGAGATAGGCCTCCTCGCTATCCGACTGGCAGGAAGCCACTGAGTCGTCGTCTGATATCTGTAATCAATATACATCTTTATAAAAAAATTGTTGATCATAGTTACCTTTGGTACACTACTTCAAAAAAGAATAAAATTATTTCCAAATAAATTGTGCCAAAGTGAATCAAAGAATTAAAGGCCCAAGAAGCTATTAAATTACGTATTTATTAGTTTTAAAAGTCAGTTTTTCAATCGGAAGATTTAGTTGATTTAGTACGTGGTCGGTGAAGAACAAAACCGGCATGTCTGAAATATTTCGCTAATACGCATTCGGGCAGCGCGGCAAGCACTTCCTTGTACTAAAAAACCCCTCTCAGACATGAGAGGAGGCCTGTGTCCAGCGGTAGGGTGTAGGCAGTAACTTATAGGCATAACTAATAGGCAGTAACTTAACGTTACATTTAAATAAAAAGCATCAGTAGAAAATATATAAATATCTTGGTATAAAAAGCAATAATCAAAAGTGCAGACACCTGGTACTGAAAACGTCATTCCGCCTGTCAAGCATGTCAAGTATAGTATATCCTCACTACACTAGCAGTAAACTGCTTTTTTAAACGACTTCAAAAAAAGGAACTGCTTTCCAATTCAACTGTATTTTTTTGTGTTCTCTCTGAACTTTTTTCTAGGTCAACCGATTTTGATGATCCTTTTTTTTTTATTTGAAAGCTGGTGTGTTCTCATATGGTCCCATATAAATTTGATCAAGGTCTGACCAGTAGTTTTTAAGTTATCCTTAATAGTGCGTATTTAATTGACTTCGACTACATTGATAATGTTCTTATCAATGTAGTCGAAGTCAAGTTTTGACTGCCTCGTTGGTCTAGTGGTTGTAGTAGTGCGACTGCTGATCATGAGGTCGCGGGTTCGAATCCCGGGTCGAGTAAAAAAAAATCAGTTATTGAGTTTTTCTATCAAGAAATTCTCAGTAGCTGCCCGGAGTCAGGAAGTTGGCGGTGTCTCACCCCCGTGCTTCGGAAAGCACGTTAAGCCGTTGGTACTGCGCCTGATCTCTCTCCGGTCGTGTCGGTTGACCGTCCCATCGGGCTATGAATAATCCTGTCCTGCGCCGATGGCTAGTCTCCGTTGAGACTGACCGCCGTGACCGAAATTCGGTCTGGAGGACATTATTATTAATGTTCTTATTTTATTTATATTGAAGTCGGTTGTACTAAATTTTTAATTTTACCACATGTGTTCACTAGTCTATGAAAAGTCCAGGGCTGAACATAGGCTTCCCCTATAGATTGCCTCATAGGAACGATATATACAAGTAGTTGCCACACTTGGCAGGCAGGTTGGCCTAAATAATAATAAAAGGTTGCGATATTTTATTTTTTATTTTAAAGTGTTATTAGGAAGATGTTGCCGCTCATCACCCTCCTGCTTCAGTTTACCTGTGTCACCATCTTACGACACCTACGACGTCGAATCGATGATGAGGCAGGAATCCCATAGATTCGCTTACGCCGGTAATATTTACCGGCGAAGATATTATAGTCGGTTATTATATTATTTTAGAGATAATGAGAGTTCTTTTATTGGAATTTTATTCAAGATTAATACAAATCAATATGGCAAAATGAACCAACTTACCTCAGCTTCTACAACTTCACACTTTGCCATATTGACAGTATAAAGCGCAGGACTGCTGTCCCCAGCTGGCGAATTTACGTTCACTGGGCATACCACTTCGTTTGTCTGTACTTTACCATCGCCTGTAATTAATTAATCATTATTTGAAAGGCATAATTATTTTATCTAGTTAAGGCTTAATGCACCAGTTACACTAACAAAGAGTCACTTTTCCTAACCTAAATGGTCGACTAGACCGCGGGAGGATCACGCTCACACAATACCAGCGTGAAATTATAGTATGCTACCGCTGCGTTTCGCATGGTGATTGATTTTTTTTATAGGATTCGGTGACAAACGAGCACACAGTCCACCTGATGGTTAGTGGTAGCTGTGGCCCATAGACATCTACATGTATCCTCGTTTGCGAATCAAAATGCAGATGCGTTGTCACCCGTGAGGACTAAGGTGGAATGCCTCTTTTCCAGTAAAAAGGGCCTCCTGGTGAGGTAAAGAGTACCGGAGCCCTTTTTAACAGGCAATGAGATATTTTAGTCCTCATGGGGCGACAACGTATGTGCATTTTGATTCTTATATGACGATAAACATAAGTGTCTATGGCCACAATCACTTACCATCAGTTTTGTGGTGTATGTGAAAACGTCATGTAATACGAGTAAATAAAAACTTTATTAAACCCTTAAAATTCGATTGGAATATGCGTACGTCTCGTAAATTATTTCCCTAACAATTTAGAAACTATATCAGGCACATACTCGACATCAAAGGCATTAACTAACTGTTAACTAATAAAAAAACATTGCTTTTAATTGTATAATACTGTAAGACTCATACTTAGTGGTCGTATGCACATACTAGCTGGTACACGCTCACTTCACTGGGCGGAAGATAATAGACGATAATAACGTAGAATATAAAATATTAGAGTAACTATATAATATATAATACATATATTTGGTTGTTTTAAATGGGATTTTAGAGTTTCTAATCAGATGTCTTACTAAATTTAATATTTGTAAAAATGTTATTTGCTTCTGACCGTACCTACACGTGCCGACATATTTATTACCTACGTCAGCTGTGAGGTCACTGACACGGCCGCCACAAAGCGACCTGCTGCGCGACGCGAGCATCCTCAAGGTTTTTGTGTACATTGTTATACCTATCTAGACAAAGTAATTCTCCGAAAATTTAAATTTATAAATTATAGAAATAACAATGAAAAGTTTTAATAATGCGCTTGCAGTTTATGAAGAATCCATTTCTCTTCATGAATACCTAATAATATTTAAAATGTTCTTATTTATTTTATATTTTATAATACCTTACAAAAATCATTTTACAAATAATCCCGTTACGTAGATGACGATATTAAGACGAATTCAAAATTTCCGAAATTAGGTAGGTATGTTGAGATCAAACATACATTAATTCATTACAATCTATTAAAGTCAACTATAGGCGTCCCCACATTTAACCTCATAAGGAGGCTATATCAGCCATAGTTTCTACTTTTGCCAGGCGGGTTGGCAACCACAGCTTTTCACTTTAGATCTAATTGTTATTAAAACGTCTTCTGGTCACTCTCACTCTCCTCACTCACCCGCCTTTTACCACACCCAGGGGATGGTAGTAGATATTCTTCCACCGCCAATCCTTATTGTTATTGAATACTTATGTACGTATATGTCGTAGAGCTATGTTGCAGCTATATTAGTAGTATAGTTGTAGCACGAATGGGTCGGCTCGACCGGGGAAGGACCACGCTCTCACAGAATACCAGCGTAAAACAGCAGTTTAACAATACTATGTTTCGTATGGTAAGTGTAAAGAACCGGAGACCCTTTTTACTGGAAAAGAGGCATTCCATCTTAGCCCTCAAGGGTGACAACACATCCGCATTTAGATTCTTTATTCAGGATAGATATAAATGTCTATGGGCCACAGCATCCACTTGCCATCAGGTGGCCTTTGTGCTCATTCGTCACCGTTATTCTATTTAAAAAAAATGGTGACCAACTGACTACGACGTTGTCGGATGGCATAACTGTCATTAAATAAGTTTTTCAGGACCGTTTTTGGATTATACTAAGAGAAACCTTAGTACAGCTACTTGTATAGCACAGGACTTCTTTTGGTATTTTTAAATTGCAGACAATTTTTTTACACCTATAAACGACTGCAATCATTATAATATTTAACGTAAACGTCGGTAGCTCATGTAAACATTTTAATTAAGATATTAAATTTTAATACTGCCATTTTGTTTTACTAATAAATCATATTTTCATTTTTATGTTAATTGAAGTTACGGAGAGTTTTAAAGAAGGTATCACGAATAAAATAAAACTATTTTTATGAATTTTATCGCGTTTAATTTTTATAGTTTTTATTTCTAATTCTATTTCATTTATTGAATAAAACTATTTTTACGGATTTTATCGCGTTTAATTAAAAAAAAAATAAGTTAATTAAACGCGATAAAATCCGTAAAAATAGTTTTATTCAATGTGTAGTGTTCGCGTAAATATAAGAAATCATTCTATTTCATTTATTTTAATTTTAATTTGACGATTTTCATTTTCAATTTGACGTCAAACACCTAAGTGCCCCGTGAACATAGGAGCTGCAAATCATCCGAAACGTCGCGGATTAAAAATAAATAAATTTAAAACGATAAAATCCGTAAAACTAGTTTATCCAAGTTAAAATAAATTTATAAGTGATTACTTACCAATATCTTGATCAAATATCAGCCTCCTAATAAAACTTTCACTTTTCGGGCTCGTGGACAATGTCGATCTGTTTTTCCTGAACGACGCGTTCTTTTTACTGTTCCTCTCGAACGCCTCTATCTTCCAATCGCAGCGACATTTGCTCGCCCTCTCCCAGATCTCCGAGCACTCGGTCTCTGAGACCGCCGGCCCCTTTGTCTCGTCGGTCTCCGTTATTTCCTCGCATATGAAACTAGATAAACACCTTACGTGATCGTCTATCACGTGTGTCGTCCTCACTTTGTTTCGGTACGTAAACGGTTTCCGTTCGTCGTCGGAGCTGAATATGTCATCGTTAGGACACCTCAGTTTCACCAGGAACTCCACCAGGTTATTGACGTCGTCAAGTTCTTTCGTTTGCTGCTTGAGTTTGAACACGACCAACTGAGCCAACCGAGAATGTATTAGTGCAAAGTTAATCTTCTGGAACCTCTCGTCGTCCATATAAGTGTACATTGTGTGCTGCAAATGTTTCGCTTCTGATTTCAGAGAGTCCCCAGCGACTTCCGGTTCCGCTGTGAGGGAGAACACCAACGCGTCTGCTATCCTCTTCGCGAAAACTTGGCACGTTCTTTCGATGCACAGCAGTTGGTTGACCGTGTGGTTGATAGGTGGCGCTGTGTCTCCGTTTGTTACGGTAATTGCCTTCAGGTTGGGCTGTCTGCAGAGCCGTTGCTTGATCGGATCGGTCTTCTTCCAATGAGGCGGCCTCTCCGAGGATATTTTGCAGGTTTTCATTGCTGCACACAAATCCGAAATGGGGCTCAGCGGTGAGTCTTTGCTAGGACTATTTTGTGATAGGTTGCCTAAGCTTATTCTAGATAAAGATAGATCGTCAGGCGAGTGTTGTGATTGTGCGCAACTATCGCTGTATGCAAAGGAGCAGGCGCACTCGTATTTACTTTTGAGATAATTTTCTAAGAGTGTTAAGCCTTCATGAGTACGAAGATCTGTGAAGGTGTCTAAGAACGGCCAGTATTCCTTCCAGCCCACTTTCAGTTGTTCCGCCAGACTCCTGTCAATATAATACTTAAAAATTAATGTTTCAATAATTATATGTACACTTATGGAATAAAATAATTCTTATTATATCAGAAGGGATTGAAAAAAGGTTCCAAAATTAGTTACGGTTCTTCAAAACATCTTACTTTATAGTATAGTTCCCGTTGTAGTCCCATTTTGAGATACCAATTCCAAATAATAAGGGAAACCTTTTATGGCATTTCTATTTATATTTATTTTATATATATTTGGACTTGTTAAATAAAGATGCCTTACGGTACTCATTTAGGTTTTGGTTTTGGTTTCAGTTCTGGTTCTGGTATTAGCACCGCTAAAAACTAATTAATTACCGATATTTTTGGAACCTTTTCAAATTTAAGTTACCATAACTTATTAGAAATACACAGCTGAACATAGGCCTTCCCCGAGAAATGCACACACACGCGCGCGCCAACATTTCCAAGGCCGATTGTGTATATATGCGTATGCGTGCGTGTGTGTGTGTGTGTGTACGTGTATGTGTATGTGTGCGTGTGCGTGTACGTGTGTGTGCGTGTACGTGTGTGTGTGCGTGTACGTGTGTGTGTGCGTGTACGTGTGCGTGTACCTGCCGACGGCCTCGAGTCCCTTGGCGGTGTCGGCGAGGCGGAAGGTGTGTCGCGGCGGCGTCTTCCAGCGGCGCCGGAACGAGTCCGCGTCGCGCGCCGCCATGGGGCCCGCGAACGCACGGATCTCGTACCGCGGACTCAGCGGGTCGCTGTTGATCTCCTACACAAATGGAACCGATTAAGCAAGTGTTGCAGACGGCGAGGGTGCACCCCCCCCCCCACGGTCGCGCCGCACGCGACATCGTCTCGCCACGCGTTGCAACCATTCACAGGAGTACGTCGGCCGTGAGTATAAAAGACGGGCATCCAACGGGCGGCAAACATTCACAGCACATTAAGAGCTTCAATCATCAAGAAAAACAAGACGAAGAAGAAAAGTATGAACCCTCAGTTTTAATAAATTAGTTAATTAAAAAAAATTGCCGCCTTTGTAAATAGTTTATAAATTATTTAAATACTTGCGTACCTCTTTTAATTCTTTCAATAGAACCGTTATTATAGTAAAATAAGGTGTACGCAACTTCACATAGTAAAATACACAGTTTTATAAATTAATACAGTTCACATCAGCCAGGTTGGACAAAATATGGTATTTAAAAAAAGACTTTTCTATGTATACGTCGCCACTAAACAGGCTCGACAGCCTAAATACGAGTATATTAATACAAGTATAATCGACTTCTATGTATGTATACGTAGCTTACTTAACAGGCTCTGCAGCCTTAATATAAGTACATTGCGTACTAAGTTACGCTCAACTCTCCGTAATTCCTTTATTCTTTAGTCGACTGCGAGCAGGCGAGTTTATAATATAGAGTAGCCCGCACGACATATATATTAATGTTAATAATTGTAATTGTTAGTAGTAGTCCAATTAAAGTCCTAGACTGAACAACACGTCTCTACTCATATATTTTTATAGGATATGGTGACAAACAAGCACACAGTCCACCTGATGATAAGTGGTTGCTTTGACCCATAGACATCTACATCTATCCTCAATAAAGAATCAAAATTCAGATGCGTTGTCACCCGTGAGGACTAAGATGGAATGCCTCATTTCCAGTAAAAAGCGTCTCCGGTTCTCTAAACTCACCATACGAAACACAGCAGAGTTAAGCTGCTATTTTACGCTGGTATTCTGTGAGAGCGTGGTCTTTCTCCGGTCGAGCCGACCCATTCGTGCTACAACTATACTACTCATATAGCTGCAGCATGGCTCTACCACATATAGAATATCATTGGCACCTTTTAACATTACAGTCATGTCGACTAGCCAGGATATGCGCTTCATCAATTGCAAGCGCACCACAGTGGCCTACATGTATATAAAAAAATACGTTTTAAAAAATAAGTACAAAAAATTATACGAAATAAATGAAAACAGGGAGTGGAGCCGGATATGACAAAAAAAAAATCACTGAAGCGAATAATGAACGTGAACAAAATATTACATATTTTAATTAATTTTGTTTTGTTAACGACAAACGTTGATTTCGACAGCATAACACTGATTTTGTTTAATGTGACTCTAAGAAAACGGCCGTCATTATTTATGTGCATACTTCCTAGATGTATTTTGCAGTTTATTTCAGATAAAAACAGTAAATGTAAATGAAAATACAACTGCGTAGCTTATTTGCCGTGGTTGCCACAGCTGTGACACAGTTTTTATTCTGAATTAACGGTTTCGACGGTTTAATTCTATACAAAAAAGTCTACTTATCTTCGGCACGATTTTTGATACTTATTAAAATAGTAAATATTCGAAAAAAAAATATTTAATTAAATTCTTAAATGGATCGGTACCTAAAATACTTTATATTAATTGAGATAAAAAATATATTTAATTTAATCACCGGGGAAAAAACTTTTACGTGCGTGTTCTCGTTTTTTAAGCGATAACCATAAAATATTTTTCGGTAGTATGAAAGGCATGTTATTATATAAAAGTATTAACCAGCAATTTTTTTTACATTTTATAGTATTCGTAACAAACGACCAAACAATTCTCTAGATAATGTGGCCCATAGACATCTACATGTCTCCGATTAAAAACCAAGATGTAGTCACCCCTAAGGACTGAGTTCGAAAGTCTTCATCTTGTAATAATACTGGACTTTTACACCCTTTAGATTGGCATACAGCAGTGCAAGCAATGCTATTAGGCGGCATAAAATAAGTAAGAGGGTGAAATCAACACAGATGCACTCTTAGACAGAAAAGGAGTCTTACATTCCATTAGACATTCTATTTTAGTCCTCCATTAGAAATTAGAATGGACATTCCATTTTAGTCCTTAGAGGCGAATATTTTTATATAAAACTGGTGCAGGTGTTCATGAGCTTCAACAACAACTGACCAAGTTGGCTGTAAGTCCATTTGTCACTTCTGTTTTATAAAAAAAAAAACATGTGCGCAGTTCACACGCGGTAGAAGTGAGACCTTCAGCAAATTGCAAGCATAATTGTTTTTAACATCGTAAAATCTACTAGGTAATCATTTTATCGAACAAAAATTTATTGACTTTTAAGGTAGTACGTAAACTAGACGCTAGATGGCCTAAACACGACTAATTTAATAAAGACATTGGATCGTTAAGATAGTTTTGATTGGTATAGATTGCTTAAGATGACACATACGGTCTGTTCCCGGCCTTATCCCCGCTGAAGTCATCATTTTTTAGTTTATTTGGGTTTTTGTGTAATTGAAACATTATTAAGTCGTAGAAGTAGCAATCGCGATACTCGGACATTATACTTTATTTTACTAGGTCATATCATTGCCTCAAAATCCACACAACTCAACACAACGTCCGAAAATAACATCTGTCATTGAATATAGTGTCGTTTACACACACAGACGTGGGTGAATTCTTAGTCCCTACATTTACGAAAATGGAACACTAGATGGCGTGAATGAAAAAAATGTTTTCCTTTTTTCTGTATGGGTAGGCAGAACTACAGAACGCCACCTGCTACGATATAAATTATGTACGATTTATCATCTGCCTAGCCTTTTTCCCAACTATATTGGGGTCGGCTCCCAGTCAAACCGGATTCAACTGAATTATAGTATTTTATGTATTTATAGTATTTTACGATTATGTTATAAAAATAAAAGTTATATTTGTAAAATGAGCTGTGGTAACTCAGATGGTTAGCACTCGCTGTAAGTTTCCCAGTACGCGAGAAACCCGGGTTCGATCCCCGCCGGCACCAATGAAATTATTAATTGCAATTTTAAGTGCTGATTTACCACGTGCTCGGCGGTGAAGGAAAACATCGTGAGGAAACCTGTATGTCTGACAAATAAGAAAAAAAAAATATATATTTCGAAGACATGTGAAGTTCGCCAACACGCATTGGGGCAGCGCGGCGGACCTTTCCTTGCCCTAAAATGTCAGAAATGAGTGGAGGCCTTTGCCCAGCAGTGGGACGTGTATATAGGCTGTAACTTTAACTTTTTTAACTTATATTTGTAGGCGTAAATAAACTAATTAATTCAATAATAATCTTGGAAAATAAATTATCTCAACACTAAGAACAATAAAACGCAGTTTTATTTTATAACCTTACACAATTGAAATTAATGATCAAAACAAGTATTTGAAGTAACACGCCTGATACACGCCTATTCACTCAAAACTAATAACACAGATGATTTTCGGTATGAATCATATACCGACACGGTCATTCCTGCGTCATCATGTCATCCGTGGCAACATAAATTAGCCGCTTTTTATTGTTATATTAATCGTTTGTTTACTGTGCCATTAAGTAAAGAAAATTATTTAAGAGCTTAATGTGATTTATCAAATTGCGGTCTCTAACGGTTATCCAAAAAATATCATTGACAATGCAATAAAAAAGAAACAAAAACTTGTCGTACGCAATTCTCTGTACGCGGTTAAACCTCAAAGTGATCGTTTTGACCGGCAGTTAAACCTACTTAGGTTCCATATCTGAAAAAATAGCTAATACTCTTCGACAGAGTGGCGTGTACGTGGCATTCAAAACAAACAATTCACTCAGGAATATTTGTAATTATAAAGATAAGTTAGATATTCGTCTAAAATCTGGTGTTTATAAACTTATTTGTGACGAATTCCAAGCCGTTTACGTGGGTCAGACTGGTCGCAACTTCGAAACACGTTATAAAGAACATTTAGTCGCGTACAGGAATTGTAACCCCGATAAATCACATTTTGCTAAACATCTCTTAGACACTGGACACAGCCTAGCCAATGACCACTCCTTTAAAGTCTTACATAGTTGTAATAAAGGATTACGACTGTGTGTGCTGGAACAGTTAGAGATATTGAAAAATAATAACGGTAATGTTGCACTGCTGAATGAACAAACAAATGTTTCCAACTCGCCTCTCTTAAACATGTTTAAGCCTGCTCCTTGATGATATATAGCCGCGCAACATGGTCGTTTGTCAACCTCACGGTGCGGTGGTCAGCGTTTGGTTGCGTGGTAGTAGGGTAGGCAGACGTTTCGCAGTAGTTTCTTGTTAATTTCACAGCAAATATCGGCGTACGTTAGGTTACGTAATTGGAGCGTGGTTGCGTCAGCAAGTAGTATAAATAGCAGTAGTTTCGACTCGCCGCTCACTTAGCGGCCAGCCTCCGCAGAGTCTACTTCACCTAAGGATACTTCGTGTAGAGGCGAAACAAGTGTCGTATTTTCGAGACTGGTGTGTCGCGCCTAGTGTGGTAGTGCTGGGGGTGGTAGTGCTGGGATTAACGGCGACGGGTATAGTGCGCGCGATTGAGGGAGGGTGGGAGGTCCCCTTAAAACTGGGCAGGACACATCATTTTCTTTCTTTACGCGGAATTAAGCAAATTAGTTTATAACAACCCCATTATAATGGTTTTCCGCAAAGTAACGCCTGATTCTATCAATTAGTTTTATATGTGGTAGAGCCATGCTGCACCTATATTATGGTTGTAGCTCAAATGGGTCGGCTCGGCCGGGGAAGGACCACGCTTTCACAAAATACCAGCGTAAAATAGCAGCTTAACACTGCTGTGTTTTTTAGCTGCAGGTTTCATTTTTATTAAGATTGCCTCATAGAAGGGATGTTTATACCCATAGTTGCCACGCTTGCAATCAGTAATGTAAAACAGTATGATTGCACGGTGGCAATCATACTGTTTTAATTATTAATGAGTTGTAATTAGGAAGACGCTGTTGTCGGTCTCCTGTTTCTCTCCATCAGTCGCCTCGTACCGACATCCACGGGATGATATGGGATGGGTTTTATTATGTCGCCATTAAACTATGAATGACGGTTTGGCGGCTCCGTGGCGCAGTCACTTAGCAATGAGTTGCAGCACTGAGAGCCGCGGGTTCGAATCCCGCACGGAACAAATATTTTTATGGCCTACAAATAATTGTTCCGGGTCTGGATATTTGTCCTTGTGAAATTTATATATGTAAACTGGCCCCAATAGAGAAAATCCTGGTGTGGAGGTAGTATAAAAAAAATCCACTATTACTAAAATGAAGGGCTCTCACGGGCGGGGCCGCGGGGGTGAAGGGCAGGCCGATGGTGGGCGCGGCGCTCTCGTCGTCGGCGTGCAGCACGGGCACGTAGAAGCGCTCCTGCAGCATGCCGCCGATGCTGCGCGCCACTTCCGGCGCCGCGTTCGAAGCGCGAGCGCAGATTATCTGTGCACGTATACAGATTAATGCAACGTGAGTTTGACAAACTTGACGCGGCGGATTGATGCTTCTGTACCTTCAATATTATTAAACAATGCTTCCAATAGGGGTTTAATACTTAAAAGTGTCATTGACTATGTCGTAAGATTTCTTTAAAAGAGACTCATGAGTCCTGCAAGTGATACTTGTTTTTTAACCAACTGCGAAATAAGGAGGGTAATGTTTTTCGTTAATATGTATGTATGTATCTATGTATGTCTATTTCTTTGGCATGCACTGTAAACCTAAACGGCTTTAGAACGGTCGTTAGACTCGTCTTAATTGTGAGACAGACTATAAATTTTTTCCCTTTTTAGTATACATTTTTGTGCAGTCAGGTTTTGTTTTTAAATGAACTCATCTTCTTTTAAATTATGGCTTCTCTTGATAGAATTCTCGGTAGAAAAGTCTCCTTCTTAGGAGACGGTACTCAATTCGACTGTATGTTTTTTTTTTAATGTGTGTAACTTTTTTCTGGGTGAACGGATTTCGATGATTCTTTTTTTATATGAAAGCTGATGATTCTGATGTGGTCCCATATAAATTTGATCAAGGTCCGACCAATAGTTGTTGAGTTATTCTTAATAATTTATATTGAAGTCTGTTGTACAAAATTATTAATTTAAAATTATTATTTCAAATATTGATCAAGACATCTTTTGACTGTTGGTTTGCAACACTAATTTAGAAAAAAATTACCGCATTAAGCTTACAGAGACAAAGAGTGGAAAAAAAATCACTATTCAATATAATACTGTTTCAATGAATTCAAAATTAGCGATTTCAGATATCTTACGTCCTTGGGCTGCTCGCCGTACTTGTTGGTGGCATATCTGTTGCACTGCGGGAAAGAAGTGAGCACGTCAACTACAGCCTCGGCGCCGAATTTGGCGGCAAAGTGAAGCGGCGTCTCATTCATCGCCTTGTCCGGGGTATTGAGGTATCGATCCACTAGGATCGATGAGAACTCCTGTAAACGCACAACTTTTCACTACTTAAGGCATATTATCCTTATTACATTCTAGACCATGGTAGAGCTAAATAGATAGTCTATTAATTTATGAAGTAAGAAAGTATCATTTAGGTCCGCTACGGGACATAGGTCTGTTAGAGCCATGCTGCAGTTATATAAATAGTATAGTTGTAGCACGAATGGGTCGTCTCGACCGGGGAAGTACCACGCTCTCACAGAATACTAGCGTAAAATCGCAGCTTAATGCTGCTGTATTTAGTATAGTGAGTGTAAAGAACCGGAGACCCTTTTTACTGGAACAGAGGCATTCTATCTTAGTCCTCACGGCTGACAACGCATCTGTATTTTAATTCGCAAACGATGATAGATGTAGATGTCTATGGGCCACAGCAACCACTAACCATCAGGTGGACTGTGTGCTCGTTTGTCACCCGTATTTTATAAAAAAAAAGAGAATGATCCACAAGGCATACTCCCGCATTAGTAACTTTGCTTATCACTATCAGTTGCGTGTAGTAAAGCACCCGAAACTACTAAAATTCGTAAATTTAGTTTTATTCAATATGTAGATTCGCGTAAACATTAGGTCATTAGGTATCTTTAGTCTTTACCTATGAAATTACTGGTTTATATAAATAAGTTAATGTAATTTTTTTCTGTTTTTATTTCTTTTAATCAGTAAGTAATCACCCATGCAATCGATGCATCTACGCCAACGCAGTGGCAGTTTATTGATGCCCTTCTTGAAGAAATCAGCTGGACGGGAGGCAAGAAATATTTCAAAGGCATTTTATACTGACTCTCGGGTATTGAATTTTTTCCCACCAAAAAGTTATCCAAATTCTGGAAAAAGTAAGACTGTAGGCACAAGGTCTGGTCAAGTCTGGAGTACGGCGAATGACGGTAGTCATATTCCAACTTTTAAGGTATCCATGATGACGAAAAAGATTCAAATGCGATGAAAACAAATGACTAATGTTGAAAAAAATATTCCATGATTTGAAAATTAAATTAATTTGAAATTAGAATACTTAGCCAATCAAAAATTATTTTGATTTGAAATGGCACGTACTGCAAAACGGCAATTTCATAGGTAAAGACCTATTATTATATAAGGTCAACTAAACGAAGACCGGCATACTAAATTTAAAAAAATACAAATGGTCTTAGTTTGGCTATTCTATAACCTTAAATTCATATTTGGTTAAACTAGATAATAATATATTTAGTTGATCTGATAGTAAATATGTCAAAATGACAAAAAGACCACCGGTTCAGAAAATAAACAACATTTTTGAAAACACAGTTAAATAGACGGATTTGGCTCCAATGTCGGTTAAGACCGTCTAGTGGCGATTTTCCCTAGTTAGCGGTAGTTGGCGTAGTTACAGATACGAATGCCTGTGTGAATGAATGTGTATACGAATACCAGTTCCTGTAACAAATTAATATTTGTACCCTAACTCTCACCCGCATTTGTCGGGTAAGACCGGCATACTTTGCTGTTCCAGGGGTGCAATACCTTGATATATAATAAAAAATAACCAATGCTTTTTAATAGTAAGTAAAGTTTTATTCTAAAAAATCAATAGTTATACTTGCTAAATTAAATCAAAAAAGTTTTTTGTATTGTGCTTAGTATTAAAACGATGAGATCCAAAATCGTAGGAAAGTAATAAGCTCAGAATCTATTCTTAAGTAAAGGCTTAATAAGACACCAAAGGGTGACGATTTCTGTAAGTGACGAAGACCGGCATATGACATTTATTACCCTCCAAGACCTAGACGGACTTACGCGCAACATATTTTGAAATTAGTTTTTATTTTCATCAAGCATAACTTAGTAAAAACGTGTATAATACTAATGTATTTACTTATCAAATAGATATCGTAATGAAGAATAAACTTACTTGCATAAATCTGTCAAATAATTGAGATTTAAACACATAACATTTTTTGTTAGAATGTGGTACACTCCCAATGCAAGGTGCTCACCGTACTAAATAAACAACCGCACTTTTTTCCGTTAACACTACATAAACCATCATCTATGTCAATTGATTGAACTAAAATGCTTTTATTGTTCCGCTGATTGTATTGACATCTTCGTAGTTCTGCTGAATTCGTTGTAATTCTTGTTGTACGATCTTCCCCGATAGACGGTCTTCGCCGAGTTGACCCTAAATCTTTATTTGGAAGTTCAGGTCTGATCTAACGCAATCGAAAGAATATCATCAATAATATTTAAATAACTCGTTTAAACTAACCTTACAAGATTCAGGCTCCGCATCCATCCCGTACAGGGCCTGTACGAAAGCAGGATTACCAACCGTTGTCAAAATCAAATTGCAAATCTCCGCATTCATTGCTTTTGCTGCGATGTGTAACGCGTTGTACCGCGAGCCTTCCTGTAGCGATAGTAAAAGTTCATTAATTGAAATAAATCTTGGTTATGTTGATTTTATTATAGTTAATAGAATCTGGCGTTACTTTACAAAACACATTTATTTGTTTATGATTAAAAATTTAATTTGTTTACATTCATAAACACAAAAAAAATTAAACCTATAATAATAAAAGCCTACTTTAAAGAACAAAAGAATACTTTGCACATATACAGCTTTGGAAATCGGTGCTAAGACATAGTATAAAAAACTGACTTAAGTGTCCTGAGTTGGAATGGAGTGACAATTTTTTTATTTATTTATTTCAACCAACAAGGATCATAGGGTAATATTACATTATTCAAGTTAATTCTAATACTAAAATTCTAATATCAAATTAATATATCAAATGCATAAGTATTCATAATAATATTGAAAATATAATAATTATTTAATATTAACAAAATAATATAAATCAATGTGAACGTAACACAACAGACCTGACTTAATAATATATTAACAAAATCATAAACATAACTTATGAATGTCACAAGTTCAAGTTAATGACTACAATATAATGTAATAACTAGACTGTATTATAAGTTTTATTACCGGGGGGAATCTTTTTGTCAAATTCATATGTCACAGAAAGATAGCTAAAGCCGTGACATAGTAACATCCCTAGGGATATAGCTATATTTTTTTATAAGATAAGGGTGACAAACGAGCACACATTCCACCTGATGGTAAGTGGATGCTGTGGCCCATAGACATCGACATCTATCTTCGTTTGCGAATTAAAATGCAGATGCGTTGTCAGCCGTGAGGACTAAGATAGAATGCCTCGTTTCCAGTAAAATGGGTCCCCGGTTCTCTACATTCACCATATGAAACACAGCAGCATCAAGCTGCTGTTTTGAGTAGGTATTCTGTGAGAGCGTGGTCCTTCCCCGGTCGAGCAGACCCATTGGTGCTACAACTATACTATTAATATAGCTGCAGCATGGCTCTACCACGTCCTGTTGTGTTATTGTTCATGTTCCTTTTTTAACAGTAGGTTAAAGTGCGGCTAAAGCCACGTACATTATAACGATATAAAATGTAATATTGAAAGAATTTAACTTTTTAATTTCCAAAATTCAAAAAATAATTTTAATTTAAAAGTAATTTTGACTAACAAATTACAAACAAACTACGATTATAATTATGTCACTAGATTAGTCTAGTAAGATAGTTATGTATGAACCGCTTTCATATAACTATATTATATAGCTATATGCCTAGGGATATAACTATATCAAGGTTTTAACTATCTTTCTGCGACACATACATTTTGTCTACAAAATGCACGCTTGTGGCACTGTAATATTCCGAGAGAATTGGGAATTGACCGCTGGGTTTAAATCGCCCTGGAAAACATTAAAGCTCATTACAAACCTGCATAATAGACGGTGTGTTACCACTGCTGACGAGATATCGCGGATTATCCCATATCCTATCGCGGACTGAGCTCGCCAGTCCCGCTTCGATTGACTTACGTAAGGCCACCATGTCTTGAGGCGAGGGCGCTTTAAATGGATACGGCTTTTCTCCCATCAAGGCTGGAATTGGTTAAACAAAATATTTTATTAGTATTAATTGACAGGTTAATTATATCGTAATAATCAGGATGTTTCGTAAGCAAAGTTCCGAATTTTGGTGAGTATAGAGCTCTGCTTGCTTATTGCCTCTTGGTAGAATAATTTTTACCTTTGGATCATGATTATGTATCCAAGTGGATAGAGCTTCCAAAATTATCCAATACACATATTTAGGATTTTTTTATCATTACGGAGTTTTAACAGCGCCGGTGGGAGTCAGAAAACTATCCTAATAATTCTATCCCAATCCTAATGAGCCCGTAGGCAAATCGCCGGAATAACCATTATAGCCACTGTTGCAGACTGATTGGTGATCTATCGTTACTGTTACGGATATACAACATTCTGAACAAAACCGAACATGGCCAGCCTTATCCATACGCGTGTGCCAAAGAGATTATTTGACCCTCCCCTCTCCCTTTACTTAACACTGTCTTACCGCCCGAATACGAGAAAAATACACCTCCCTCTATTATTGGCCATAAATCTAACAGGTATTTCCTCAAGTCATTGTATACCATGCCTCCTCAAAATAGGAAGATATAAAGTTTTAAGCTGCACACATACACTACCTCGCTTAACGGCTAAATTATTTGCAAAGTTCATTGGCGGGATGCGCGATTAGCAGTTGACTTTCTTCAGTCGTTAACTCTACTAGAAAACTAGAAAAAAATTGGAATGACATTTCTCAAAGTTAAGTCACGTGACAGTAACGTCAGTCAGTGTCAGCAACGCCGCAACAACGCGTAACGTTATGAGACAAGCTTAGAGGTAGGCTGAGTTTCATTGTCAAAGACAATGAATAAAATAACAACAAAGACGAGACCCATAAGCCAAAAGTTTGTTATCTTGGCTGACATTCAAACCCAGGACCCGCGGCATATTAGGTATCATAACTGTTAAGATACGTGCCCATGGATAAAGTCAATTGCAAAATAGCATAGGTTATATACAAAATAAAATGCCTGTCCTGCTCGTCAATACATTTGAAAACTATTTATTAATATCACATATACCCTGATGATGATGTTTGGCAAAACTGGTTTTATAGTAAATAAATCAAAATATAAGTAAAACAAATGCATGATGTGTCAATCCTCTTCCAATGAAGATGAAGTTTCACTACGTGGCAATAATCACAGGTATAAATTATAGTTTTTATAAATCCTAAAATTGTTATTCCAACATAGGCATGGTCTTTTTTACAAAGAAGCATAAATTGAGGTGTACAGTTGTATTTAAATGTATTTAGTGAACAAAAAACAAACATGAAAGTAAGAAGCATTTTAATATTTATAAAATCTTATACTTTCAATCTCTTGGACCTACCCCCAACTCGCAATTCGCTCGCTGTGACGTAGTACGGCAATATTTACTTGCTAATCTTTTAGCGCCTGGATAAAATAATTAGCACATACTAGTTAACAAACTTTTTCTAGTAAATTTTAAAAGTTGTTTTTTGGATTATTCTATTGCACCTAAAATGGATAAACAATTCTGTGGAGCTTGCAGAGCATTAATATCTGATAAAAGATACATGACCTGCCTTGGTTGTAAACAGAAGTATGACCTTCAATGCGCTAATATCTCACCACAGCGGTATAGAGCGTTAAATGATGAGAATAAGCGTAATTGGAGATGCCTGGAATGTAAAAGTAAAATACCTAAGAAGGATAACACAAACACACCTATACGCCCATCGCACCAGACAGAGTCGGCAGTTCTCGATAACGCAGATAACTTGAATGTAACGTTGCGTAAAAAATCTGATTTAGCATTTGACTACATAACGGAAAAAAAGTTGAAGGATGTCTTGGAGGCTGAAAGACAAGAATTAAGAATTGTTATTCAATCAAGCCTGAAGGAATTATCAGATCAGTTAACCACAATAAAAAACCAGTGTTCCGGATATCAGGAGTCTTCAATGTTTATTAGTGGGCAATATGAGGATTTTCGCAGAGCTCGTAGAACTAAAAAAGCTGCTTGCAACGACCACTTCTGAATTGAAATGTATAAGAGAAGAAAATAAAAGTCTAAAAAATAGTGTTACTGCACAAGCTGCAAGGATCAAAGCATTGGAAGACGAAAACTTGAGACAACAACAGTGGATACGAATGCAGAATATAGAGATAACAGGGATTCCTGAGAATAAGGCCGAAGATACTAAACAAATAGTATTGAAACTCTCGCAGCATATTGGGGCTCCTATTCAGCAGACTGATATCGATTTCGCACACCGGGTCCAACCTCGGCGCGCTGTGAGTGCTGCCCGCGCACGCCCCATTGTTGTGCATCTAAGACAACGTGCCGTCAAAGACAAACTTATAGCAGCGGGTCGCAAGTATCGTACTCTGAATGCTAAGGATTTGGGAATGGGTGATGAGACTAACAGAGTTTATATCAATGAGCACCTTACAAAAGAAAATAAAATTCTTTTAAATACATGCAAACAAAAAGCCAAGGAGATAAATTATAAATTTGTCTGGACAAAAAACTGCCGTATCTTCGTTCGAAAGGACGAGGCCTCACCCCCTATTCCAATATCCTCATCAACCGATATATCCAAAATAATGTAAAACACTGTTTGATATTTAATAATTACTCACCTTTCAATGTATGCAATAATCCTCCCTTACACTTACATAAAATATTTTTACACTTCTCTACACCCAACTCTATTTACACACTTATTGATTATGCAGTGCAAGAGTACCTCACAAGTATATCCTTTCCATGTGAACTACACTCCTATTTTAGACCGAAGCAAATTCTCGTAGTGCCACATTTAAATGCTATTAAAAACTACGGCTTAACTTATAGTTATACATTGACCATTAAGGTTTGCGAATATTTATCTATATTAATTAATAACTATGTCTTAAAAATAATAGTTTATTTTTCCTTTAAATATTTAACATTTTATAGAGTGTACGTTTATCGATTTCACCACTACTACCCTGTCAGAAATGGATGAAAATAGTAAAAATAGTAACAACCTTACATTGCTTTATCAAAACGTTAGAGGGCTACGAACAAAGACTAATACGTTTTATAATAATCTGTTACTGTCTGAGATCGATGTAGTTATGATTTCTGAAACATGGTTATATGATGGTATTTTGGACGCAGAACTAAGTGACGATAATTATAAAATTTTTCGTAGAGATCGAGGATCATTAGGAGGTGGTGTAATGTTACTTTGTAAATCAAAGCTACACGCGCGCATGAGACCAGAATGGAATAATACTGATCTGGAATGCATTTGGATTACCATTCCAGGAAGTAACATAGGCTCTTCGTATGACATACACATTTCGGTAGTTTATATACCACCTAATCATCAAATATCTTCGCGTATAAAGGATCTCATTAGCACACTGTTAGCTGTTCGTGATAAATACCCAAATGACTATATAATTGTTTCAGGAGATTTTAATTTACCATGTATTGACTGGAGTTCTGGAGACCCAGTTATACGTAGGAAAGGATCAGTCGAGGTTCAAACTGCAGCATCTGATCTTATATCTTGTTGTTCTTTCATAGGACTTTCTCAATACAATACACTCTTAAACAGTAGCAAGAATACTCTAGACTTAATCTTTTCATCTTTCCCAATAAAAGTTCAAAAATCTGAATTTGTGCTTGTTATAGAAGATGTATATCATCCAGCTCTGTACATATCTGCGACGGACATCTTAGTACCTTCACGTAGGCCTTCTTTAAGGACTAAATACCAATTTAAGCGAGCAGACTACCGTAGTATGAATGATTTACTTTTGAAACAAGACTGGGCTTTTATCACAAGGGAAACAAGTTTAGATCGTGTTACTGATAAATTTTACAGTATAATAAATGAATTAATTGAAAAATTCGTTCCTAAAATCCGATGTAGTAGTAATTATTCTTATCCAATATGGTACAGCAGAGCACTAATTAACCTTATAAAAGAAAAGAGTAAATTGCACTCTAGTTGGAAGAAGCATAAAAATCCGATTGATTACGCAGACTTTTCGGAGCTGAGAAAACGACAAAAGATACTACAGCAACAATGTTATAAACTGTACCTAGCACGCACTCAAGAGAATATTAAACATAACCCCAAAGCTTTCTGGAGTTATGTGAAGTCTAAGCGTAAATACAATTCTGATTATCCTCAAGAAATGACATACGGAGACACTAAATTGAATAACCCAATAGCAATCTGCTCGTCATTTAACGATTTTTTTAAAAGTAATTTTACTAAATCTATAGACAATAATTTGACTATACGATCCGATAATTTAAATTTAAATGTAATCCAAGATATTGAAATAAATCCAGAGAAAGTTAAGAATTTAATTTGTAAGCTTGACATTACGAAAGGTGCCGGTAGCGATAAATTGCCTCCTGTATTATTTGTAAAATGTGCAAAATCCTTATCTGTTCCTATAGCACTATTATTCAATAGGTGTCTTCGCGATGGCTACTTTCCAAGTATTTGGAAGGAAGCTCATGTTGTACCTATACACAAGAAGGGGCTGAAGACAATAATTGAGAATTACCGGCCAATATCAATACTCAATGTGTTAAGTAAATTGCTAGAAAGAATCGTTCATATGCACATATACCTCATCATATTACCTTCAATACCCCCAGAACAACATGGCTTTGTGAAAGGGCGCTCTACAGCAACTAACTTGGGCGCATTTATTGATTATACTACCACAAATATGGATGGAGGGTCGCAAGTAGATGTCATTTACACTGACTTTGAGAAAGCCTTTGATCGCGTAGATCACATCATATTACTACGTAAACTTTTTGAGCTGGGCATACGAGGTAACCTTTTCAGGTGGATGGAATCATATCTGCGGAAACGATCTCAGGCAGTAGTCTTAGGAGGGTTCCGTTCTGACTTCGTGGAAATAACATCCGGAGTTCCACAAGGTTCTATTTTGGGTCCTCTACTGTACGTGTGCTATCTATATGATGTGGGTAAGTGTTTTCATAATGCTAAGTTTCTGATGTACGCTGATGACACTAAAATATATATGAAAATCACTGATTATGTAGATTGCATGAAACTTCAAGATGATCTTGTGCGACTTGGTAACTATTATGTGGTAAATCGTATAGGAGTTAATGTCAGCAAGTGTCTTTACGTTTCTTTCACAAGGAAAAGAGAACCTACAAAATTCAACTACCAAATAAATCACCTTAATATAACTAAGAAAGAATTAGTGAAGGATCTGGGGATATTACTGGATTGCAAGTTAAGCTTCTCAGAACATATTGAAACAATTACGCACTCGGCCTACAAAAGCCTTGGCTTCATCCTACGCGTAAGCAGACCTTTTACTGATATTAACTGTATTAAATTACTTTATTTTTCATATGTTAGAAGCGTCCTTGAATATTGTAGTACTGTATGGAACCCGTATTACACTGTTCATATAAATAACCTAGAACAAATTCAGCACAAATTCATGAGACATTTAAAGTATAGAAATTTTATTTACACTAATAACTATGAAGACTCTTGTAAATATTTCAATATAATAAGCCTTGAGGATAGACGTACTCTAATGGACATGGCATTTTTGCATGGTTTATGTAATGGAAGTATTGACTGTGTAACTTTAGCTGATAGAGTTCTCTGCTTTTGTACTCCGAAACGTAGAACGAGACATACACCTTTGTTTGCGGTTGTTAAGACAAAGACAAACTATGCACAAAACTCTCTGGTGAATCGTTTACAAATAGTTTATAATAAAAGATTCCACTCAGTTGATATTTTCCATTTCAGTAAGGATAGGTTTAAAAAGGATGTCTTGAAACTTCTGATGCAGTGAGGTTAGGTAACTCATTAACTCATACACACACACACACACACACACACACACACACACACACACACACACACACACACACACACACACACACACACACACACACACACACACACACACGCCCGCATGCGAGGGAGGAGCATACGAGCATTATTTATGTTGAAATTTTTTTGATTTTTCTTGTAATGTTTTCTAGATGTTTAAAAATATATATTTTTAGTCCCAACTACTTTGTCTTCAACATGTCCGTTATAAATTGAAAATACTATTTAAATAATGTAAATCCGTTTTTGGCTATAATTTAAGATCATAAGATGTACGTACGATGTAACAAAGAGCTGTGGATTTTGTTTGAAATAAAATAAAAAAAAATAAAAATAAAAAAAATAAAATGAAATTAACATTTATGTAAATTGGGTAATTTTACAAACAATAGAATTTGCCTTAAAATGTTTCAACCTCTACAGATTAACTTGAAATGGAAATCATGTTTTATAATGTACATCTTTTATTTTTATTGACACTACAATGTTTGAAGAATCTTTCTCCTTCATCAGCCCCTAAAAGTTCATTTTTTATAGAATAAGAGTGATAAACAAGCATAAAGCCCACCTGATGGCAAGTGGATGTAGTGGCCCATAGACATCTATATTTATCTTCGATTAATAATCAAAATGCAGATGCGTTGTCACCTCTGGAGACAACGATAGAATGCCTCGTTTCCAGTAAATGGGATCTCCGGTTCTCTACACTCACCATATTCGTATGGTGAATGTAGAGACAGCTCAACACAGGAGTAATTAAGCCGCAATTTTACGCTGGTATTCTGTGACAGCGTGGTCCTTCCCCAGTAGAGCCGACCATAATATAGCTGCATCGTGGCTCTACCACGTAATAATAATTATACGTAATATAGCATAATATATAGATAATATCCATCTGGAATAATGTACTTTTCAAATGAAGAAAGAATTTTTCAAATAGGTGCAGTGGTTCCGGAGATTACTCTTCACATATACTAAAACTCAAATAGAATTTTCTTGTGTATCGTGGAGACAGTTTAAATACATAAATTTCACAAGGGCAAACATCCAGACCCTGAACAATTATTTGTAGGTCATAAAAATATTTGTTCCATGCGGGATTCGAACCCGTGGCCCTTAGCGCTTCAACTCATTGCTAAGCCAGTGCGCCACGCAGCCGTCGGAAAATTATAAAATTAATTAATATTCAAAATTAGCGTAGCTGATTCGTCTTTGTTTGATAACAGTTTTTACATACACACTAATACAATAGGTACATCATAAAAAATTGCTTGTCCGTAATTAAATGTAGGTTCAAATAAATTAATATCTAATATAATTACGCAGCACGATACAAGTAATTCTCGCTTTTTTTAAGCTAAATTGGCGATACGACCTTGCTACGTCACGCATCTACATAATTAGACGTCTTTATGACATTAGGCTTGGTCTACAAATTAATGTCTGGATAGCGTTAATTTATTTACACATTAATTTAAAGTAACAGCATACATACATCCTATTTCTGGGCACAGGTCTACTTTCAATACCGAGAAAGTTGGATATGGAATTCTATGTTGTTTGTATGGGCAAATTTTTATGTTAACTCGCCAATAATATGAAGTTTTTTTTTATAGGATAAGAGTGACAAATGAGCACACAGTCCACCTGATGGTAAGTGGTTGCTACGGCCCATAGACATCTACATTTATCCTCCATTACAAATCAAAATGCAAAGGACTAAGATGGAATGCCTCATTTCCAGTAAAAAGGGTCTCCGGTTCTCTACACTCACCATACGAAAATTAGCAGCGTTAAGCTGCTATTTTACGCTGGTATTCTGTGAGAGCATTGTCATTCCCCGGTCGAGCCGACCCATTCGTGCTACAACTATGCTACTAATATATCTAATGATATATCTGCAACGTGGCTCTACCACATAAAACCGGAAACAAATTTAATGTTTGATATTATGTTTATGTTAGGCACTGACCAGCGCTCATAAACAATAATTCTAATGATAACGTGGGTTGTTGCTCTCGTTTCTGAAATAGCAATTCCACTAGATAAGCACAATTATAGTATTTGAGAAATAGAATACTTCAATATCATGTTCATCTTGGCAATGCACACCACAAGATGCGTAAATGTTGCGAAGTGTGCCTGAGTGTGTGTATGCGCGCACGTGCATGCGTAGATGCGTGCTGGTACACCTATGTATTACTGGGTTATTATGGGTGTTTGTGTGCCTGTGTGTGGGTGTGTTTGTGTGCCTGTGTGTGGGTGTGTTTGTGTGCCTGTGTGTGGGTGTGTTCGTGTGCCTGTGTGAGGGTGGGTTTGTGTACCTGTGTGAGGGTGGGTTTGTGTACCTGTGTGAGGGTGGGTTTGTGTACCTGTGTGAGGGTGGGTTTGTGTACCTGTGTGAGGGTGGGTTTGTGTACCTGTGTGAGGGTGTGTTTATGTGCCTGTATGTGGATGTGTTTGTGTCTGTGTGTGGGTGTGTTTGTGTCTGTGTGGGCGTGTTTGTGTACCTATGTGTGGATGTGTTTGTGTGTCTGTGCGTGGATGTGCTGGTATGTCTGCGTGTGGGTGTTTTAGTGTGCCTGTGTGTGGATGCGTTTGTGCGCCTGTGTGTGGGTGTGTTTGCGTACCCGGTGTGTGTTTGTATGCCCTGTGCGTAGATGTATTCATTTTCCTTTCCATTCGTGGGTGGTTGGTTTTATTTTCTATCAACAACCATTGTAAAGAGAGAGCCTTCGTTGATAAAATATATATTTTTTTTAAATATTGCAGTAAGATGAATATAAAACGTAACGAATTGAAAAAATAAAAGAAATATGTAATATTATGATATAATACAAAATCTTACTACTTACAGTTACTATTTCCGTCATGTGTGTCTGTCGGTTCAGCACCTCTCAATGCAAAGGAAACTGCATCTTGATGACTCCTGAACATCTTGAATCTTGCCGACTTATACCGCCGCACAAGCTCCAATGCCTCAGATTTATTCTTATATACATGTAAAGCTTCTGTGAAAATTAAATTTACTTATAATTCATTGGAAAAAGTCACTAATTTCACAAGAAGTCACTAATTTCACAAAAAGTCACAATTCAAAATCTATTTGACCTACACACAAAGCCACTTCTGGGTTATTTAGAAACTTTAAATTTTGTAGCGAACGACCTTGAGCATTTGACCTAATATATTAATATTGTAGCGAGCGGCTCGCCGGAAGAAATATGTAAGACGCCACCTATTGTACGAAAGTAGTATTATTTTTTCAACATCAATAAACTATTTTATGGAAATACACATAGCGTACAAAGATAAATATTTTTTTATTCTGTATATATTAGTTGCATTATATTAGAATTATGTATTTTCATATATTATCTAATTATGAAATTTTATAATTAATTATATATTAAAACTGAAGCATTGAAAATTGTGAGTTTAAAAGATACCTATTCACTATAGGTAAATAAATAGATAGCTCGGCTTTTGTACAAATATTTGGTGCAATAAAAAATAAATAAATAGGATGTTTCGCATATGTGTTTTTGATTATTGTTAATTTTTACTTGTCATGTATTGAAAAGTTACCTACTAATTTTTGAACTGAGCACCTTGTAACTTAGCCTGCTTATTACATTATTACTTATGCTGGCAGATATTATCCTCACCCCAATGATTGATGAGGATGAAAATCAATTTTATTTCTACATACGTAATTATATTTATTTATACATAAGGGTAACTTTAATAAAGGTAATACAAAAATCAACAAGAAGTATAAGGGTTCAATTTTTCAATTTCAGTTGTAAAAACACGTTACCCCCACACTAGGATTTTCTCCTGTGTCGTGGAGGCAGTTTACAAACATAAATTGCACAAAGACAAACATCCAGACCCGGAACAATTATTTGTAGGCCATACAAATACTTGTTCCATGCGGGATTCGAACCCGCGGCCCCCAGCGCAACAACTGATTGCTAAGCCACTGCGCCACCATGAAGCTAATACAAAAACTAACTTTGTATTTGCTTCATGGTCGCCGAGTTATAGCTAAAGTGACCATACGTCCCGTTTTGAACGGGACTGTCCCTTTTCTCGGTCTCCTGTCCCATTGTCCCCAAACAAAGCTCCGGGACACAAAATTGTCCCGTAACTCGTTGGATGGAAGTATTCAAAGTCAACAATCTTCAACATAATTTTTTTTAATCGAATATATTTTATGTCTACCTTGTACGAATGCTCCGGTAGAAAGAGTATTTTTTTATTTTGCATACATTGTGGACGTCTGAAAGAAACACTTACGGTTCCAGAGTTCTAAAGGCGATGTTGTTAACAAAGATAACAATAAAAAACTTGAGCAGAATTTTATTCTTATTTAAAATCATCACCAACTTTATTAAAGCAAATTTAATCCACTGACAAATGTAATTAATAATTAAAAAAAATATGTTGCATTTAATAATTACCGTCTATACCGAATATAATTTTATAGTGAACACTAATTGTATAAAGTTATAGTTTTTAGAGTATAAATAAACCCATGTCCTGTTATGAGTTAAAAAATAAATGGTCAGTTTAGTCTTTTTAGTTAAATTTAGTTTTAAAAATTTTTAGTTTATAGTAAAAGGTAGGTATATTAGTACTTTTTACCGAATTATAAGTATAGAACACCTTATGTACTCAATTATTTTTTGAAAAAGAAGAAAAAACAAGCAATAAATAATATACTATATTTTAGCAAAAAACTATAACTTAGTAATACTAATTATAATTATAACTTAGAACATAAATGAAAAACTCATAACTGACTTTTTGGCCCGACCCAGGATTCGAACCCGAGACCTCATGATCAGCAGTCGCACTACTACAACCACTAGACCAACGAGGCAGTACTATACCTGATAAGATATTGTGGTTGGGTGATAATATTGAATTAGCCTTTTATAGTGTAAATTATAATATTTGTCGAAATTTTAATTATGGATTCGAACCTTACATGCTAATGGTGCTTCATTTTTTTATTTGCATTTTACTTCAAAGAAAATACACGCAAAAAGCTTCATCGCGCAGTAAAAAGCACAACAAATATATGTATAACTAATACGAAAAATTATACCCAAAACAAACAAATAATACTACCTATAAATAACCTAATAAGTAATAATATTATCGACTCATATGACGTGGCGTATGCGTTGGTCGGCGCTCTAACGACACGGGCTTCGCGTCGAAGTAGGGATATTCGATATACATCGATGCATCGAATTCACTCGATGTTTACAATACGATGCATCGAATCGATCCGATGTTTTGGAAAGCTATTGATATAGGTACTCGATGTATCGATGTATTTTCATAAAACATCGAATCAATGATAACCAGTCAATTGTAAACAGGTATACTTATCTATCACTATTAATATAATAACTTCTAAATCAGAAAAACTAAAACATGCTCTGATTTAGAAGTTATAATATCTAAACCTGTTGGTGGCGCTAGTTGGTGGCTGTCAGTCTCTTAGCGGAATCAAAAAATTGAGATTGGCTGGTTGTGTATTAAAGAAAATCTAAAGAAAATCGTCCGGTCTGTCTCGGTATTAAGGCGGCTTCTCACTTTCGTCCCGCAGGGCAATCTAGGACGAACAGCGATCGGGGCAATATCAGAAATGTCTCTACACACATGCCTGCCATTCTATGTGAGAGTGTACGTCTACGCTGGACACACGCGTTGAGAATAACGCTAGTTTTATCAAAATATAAATGAATCGGTAAATATAGCCTTGCCTTTTTTTATATAGAATAAGGATGACAAATGAGCACAGTCCACCTGACGTTAAGTGGATACTGTGGCCCATAGACACCCATATTTATTGATAAAACAACTAATTAATTAATAATTACACCCATAACACAGTCTTTCAAAGCTGCAGTATGACTCTACCACGTTTAAAAACGTTACGACGTTCAGATAACGTTCTTTCTGCGGTGCTACCGCAAAAAAAAGACAAAAAGGAGATACTGGGTGAAGAAACCGCATCTTTGTAAACTTCTATCACCAGTTTCCAAATTTCATATATTTTATTGGTATCCATTATGACGTGTGCTGCATGCGAAAGTCGCTTACGAACTGTTTGAAATTGCCCCATTTGCGTTACACATGTGGCGTGGTAGCTATGATCTAGGGAGCAAGGAAGGTCTTGCGCCCATGTCGCTCTGCCGCAGGGCCGACTTAGAAAATTGCCCCTGCTTGCATACACACATCACAATTAAGGAGGCAATTAAGGGTTATCCCCACTCCTACACCCTAAATTGCCCCTGTGGCAGGCAAGTGATAGCCGCCTTAAGACCATTTAACCTCAGACTCATCTCGCATAATTATTCCCCTCTGCAGGTATTGGATTTAAAAGCTTGTGCGTTTATAAAAACTGCTTACGAAATCGATTTTATTATTACAAGAATCGTTTCCGCCAAAGTAGGTGCTCTTTAAAAAATACCGATCAGTGCTATCATAAAGCAGTCAAAATACTTAAAGTTTACAAAAGATGGAGTTATATTCCATATGTAAGTATTTTTATTGTGATGCATGCTTTTTTTCTATTAAAATCATTTAAAATAATATCGTAAACATTGACCTACTACTAAATGGACCTCGGATCTGCACTCAAGTGTCCGAGTCAAAAGAGTTCCAAAATGCAAAAAGAGTTGCAATTGCGCGCTAGTCTTCGTTTTGGCGATTGATAATACACTCCAAAATTACTGTATCACAAAACGAGCAAAATTATTTATATTTATATATATTTTCTATAAGGACTATTTTAATAATTTAAAAGTAATATTTTGCTTAGATACAACATACGTAGTATTTAAATTAAATTCACATTAATTGTAAAAACAAAAAATCAAACCGATAATTTTCGCTAGAAGCTGCATAAGATGAAAACCGCTGTTGGTTGTAGATGAAAGGCTGCTAAATTGTCGCAAGTAAGATTATACATATATATAAATAATACGTTTTTATAGGTTGACTCGGGACACATTTTTCGTGAATTTTGTTCTAGAGCCGCCGTCTATTTAGTAGTAGGTACAATGACTAATGATTATAAATAATAATTTATTCTTTATTGCATTCCTTAATATAAAATAATACAAAGGGCGAACTGAAAAGGTGTAGCAGAATAGAATAAAAACAAAATAAAAAATAAACAACTAAGATATATATAAATTTTACTAATATATAAAATAAATAAATACAAATATAAATAGTATATATAATTGACTGGGAAAGAGTGCCTTAAGGCATTGAGTACAAAAGAAAAATCGTATATATGGCGGATATATACGATTTTTCTTTTGTGCATAAAAGTAAAAAAAAAACAATAAATATATAAATATAAATAACTATGAATATATTCGTCTGTTACTAATAATATTCTTAAGATTAAGATACTTTGTGTTTCGTGCTATAAAGAATATCTATCTAACTGTCTTACATCCTCGAACACTACATGCACACACTCACACACCAACACACACACAACGCGTGCGGACAAAGACAGTGCCAATGTAAGAGTAGATTATTCCAAATTGTCGATTGTTTGAATGGGGATGTCAGGAAGTCACAGATATGCAGGAAGTTGACTACAGATTTATAATGTAAAGTCATAAAAAGTACTCGATGTTGCAAAAACATCGATGTTTCTAACCGATGCATCGAAATATATCGATGCACAGTCTCGATGCATCACATCGAAAAAAAACATCGATGTATTTTCAAAGTGGACACCCCTACGTCGAAGAGCTCAGCGCTCACTGACTTCAGCAAGCCCGTGAGCAGTAAATATGCCCAGATTTTAAAATAATTTCTTAATAAAATCAAATTTTGGTCTTTTGAAAAAAAATTTACTATAGAAATGTTCATTAATAAATTGCCTATCCATTGGTGTAAATCGCAAAATAAAATAATACTTACTTTACGAGGAGATGCATGTTATCAATAATAATTTCACATTTAT